CACTGTGAAATGTTATTCGTCATTGGGATTATCATTTGAAGTCTCAGATTGCGTACGAGTTTTCTGGAGAGATGAATGTTTAACATTCCAGTCAGTGAAAGTGCCCAGTTCTGCATTTGTTTGATGCTGAAATGAAAACAGAGCAAACAAAGGAAAATTGTTATAAGTTGACAGAAAGGCTTGTGCTTTCAGACGATCTCATATTCGCCATGCGAGCAAAACTGTTATCCTCTTGCAACGATTAACAGTATCGCTAAGGTTGGCCTAAGCATAGCCTCAGGAAATCGACCACTTGTTCCCGATGTTATGATTATAATCTCATCCAGTTCGTACGAATTACCCGAATTGGTGCGTTGTTGCATGCCTTCTCTCTCACCTACGTGTTTTTCTTGACTGGATTGGATTCCGATGATACCTTATCAGAGCCCAAAGAGATTCTTAAAGATTTGTGGAAACGTTTGATTAGCAGGTGTTCATTTGAATAACTCTGAGTAATAACATTATTCATCTGAGATTAGATTATTTGCTGATTCGTTTTGCAGGGTATTCGAGAAACCCTGATGAAACCGATATCACCAATATTCGTGTTCTCAATTAATGTGGGCGCGCTAGATGCAGTCACATCATCCACTGACTCTTATGCATCTTCGGCTACAACAATTAGATTCTCAGCAATCGACTACGATGCCCTTCAGAAGCTTACGGAACCCCTCTCAGTGGCAGCCGATGACTTTGTTAGACGCAGTAGGTTACTACCAGTTTACTCGGTTTCAAGCGCATTTATTAATGAGTTGATCTGCAAGTGATCAAACAACGTATACCTCAGTTAGTCGCCGATTACGTGACATGTTTGACTCAAGATATATTATTATTCAAACATTTCATCATGCCAACAATGAATTTGAATTTTTCCACAATTCAAGCGTTTTCCATGATTATCTACAAAACAATCTGATGATCTTATATTTCTTGATGCCTCATACTGACTTTCTCTTTGAGTTATTAGGTGAATCTCGAAATCGTTTAGTAGAAGAGGTTATTTATTGCTGAGCCTCTCTGAAGATGTGAGTTGTCACGAAAATAAATAGACAGCAATCACCTTGACTACAAATGCGCATCGCAACGGAACGGTTTAGCGAAGATCTGAAAGATGCACATTAGCTATTCAATTTTATTCTCTTGATCCATTCGTAATGAACACACCTCATGTTGCCGATCTAACGTGGTGGAAATACTTAGATTGGAATGTTTCAAAATGTATCAAAAAGGATGCGTTGAATACAATCACGTACACGGTACCCTGTAAGCAACTAGTTCTGATAACTGCATAATCACTAAGTGCTTTTTTAAAACTTTATTTGCCAATTGTATTTGAATTTTTTCAAGCTCTTGAACGGTTGCAATGTTTCAGGCGATGATGTCAGTACATATTCAGCGTCTAGTGGTGGAGGCAGTCTTGCGGTTATCATAATCATACTTGTGATCGCTTTCATCATCATTGTTCTAGTGCTCTGCTATGCGATATACCGATACCGTAAAGAAAGTAAGTTGATGTAAACGGACAGAAAATGCTGCTAATGCACGAGATGACTGCGTCTTTTAAGTCCACCTGACACGGACGATTGACTGATCAAGTGTTCCTTCATACTTGAATTTGCATTCTGAGACGTCCGTTGAGCAAAATTATGATCAGATGGCTGAGATTAGATCAAATTAAACAATCAGATTTAATGAGCTTAGAGATTATGAATAATACTTTCAGAAACTGGAAATATTGAATTGATATTTTCAGATAAAACCTTGAAGGAGCATATTGCATTGATTGAGACNAAGGACTATTCCGGTAGAAACGACGACTATGTCAGCGAGCCAGCGGTATGGGGAGAAATGAATGGTACAAATAAACGAGCGATCGGGGACCGGAGTGAAATGCGTAAGAACGGTAGTAATGTTGTACTGAAACATTACGATCCAAGGATTCGTGAGGTGGTTCCAATCGATTGGACTCCGAAAGTGAGTGGATCGCAGTTGGAGCGCATTCCAAACGGAACAATGCCGAATAATAACCTCACAGTTCAAGGTCATTTGTGTATTATCATCATCATCATGATAACTTATGAACCAAGATTATGCGTTCTTTCCAGTAGAACGAAATTCTCATAAAACATCTCACGTCCAGCAACGATCATCAATTGAAACTAACGCGTTTATTAGCTAAATCAGTGGTTTTCATAAGGGTGAAATTACCCATTTTGGGTAACTTTGAGGTGTCAAGGGGTAATGTAGGGGGTCGGGAAATGAGTATTCCGTGTTATGTTATGATGCAGCATCATTGTAATGGTGTTTTTTAAATCGGATATGTAAATGCGGTTAGTTGATGGTGACACTCTCCATCCTCCTATTTTCTGAGTATCATTAGCTCGTATGGGGCCTAATAGGGTTTTTATTCTTTTCCTTGTTGTTACAATCGCTCTCATACACCAAAAGTGTTCTCTTGTGCTAATTTCTCATTCATTTCACTCAACAGTTAAAGTCAAATTCTTCGGACCTGATAGGGTTTTCATTCTTTTCCTTGCTGTTGTAATCGCTCTTATAACTTTTATCAGCCAAAAAGTGTTCTTTTCATTCTTTGCCTTGCTGTTACAATCGCTCTCATAGCTTTTATCATCAAAAGTGTTGTGTTTCGCTGCTATAATCACTCTCATAGCTTTTATCATCAAAAGTGTTCTCTTCTATAATTTCTCATTCATTTCATTCAACAATCAAAGTCAAATTCTCATTCTATCAAATACACTCTGTAATTGATCATTTGACTATTGAACGTTGTTAAGCAATAATATTACATTAGCGTATTGTTGATTTCGGCTGTCAACACTCGTCAACGCATCCAGTAAATAGTATATGCTACAGAATGAGAAACTGATTCGAACTGTGAAGTGAAATGAGACGAAGTGAATGAGAAAAACTCATCAAGAGAACGACATTCGCATGTGATGGCTATGAGAGTGAATACAATACGT